CTGTGGGAATCGAGCCTGAAACCTGGGTATGTGTCCTGACTGGGAATTGAACCCTGACCTCTTGGTTGCTAGGTCCACGCTCAGCCACTGCGCCATGCTGTGGGGCTGGGGAGTGTTGATTTTTTTTTATTTTAGCCATGCTGATGAGTGTAGAGTGGTATCTCATTGTTAATATTAATTTGTATTTCCCTAATGACTAATGATGATGCTGAGTACCTTTCCCTGTGCTTACTAGTCATTCATAAATTTTCTCTGGTGAAGTGGTGATATTTAAGTCATTTTTAAAAACTGAGTTCTCTTATCTTTGAGTAGTGTAAAATAACCAAAAAATGTCTATATTGGCCACTGCCCCAATACCTAACACAGACCTTTCAAAACCCTTGTAAGGGGGGCGGCTGGGAGAATCTTTGGTTCTAATCTTTAGTCTTTGGCCTGGGTTCCTGACACAGAGCTCCTAAGACTTTTGTAATTCCCTAGGTGACAGGAACATCTGACACTGAGCTCCTAAATCCTTTGGAATTCCCTGGTGACAGGGACATCATTTGTTCTGAGGAGACTCTGGGTGGGCTCCTGGAAGGGGACTGGTTACCAGAAAGAGCATGATTAGAAGCTTGAACTTTCAGTGCAGTCCCTCAGTCTCTGGAGAGGGCAGGGGCTAAGCAACAGTGCCAACGTGATAAAGCCTGCATAGAAACCCCAGTAGTTCAGGGTTCGGGGAGCTTCTGGGTTGGTGAGCATATCCATGTGCCAGGAGGGTGGTGCACCGCTACACAGGGACAGAGACTCTTGTGCTAAGGACCCTTATAGACCTCACCCTATTTATCTCCTCATCCAGCAGTTCATGTGTGTCCTTTATTCCATCCTCTATCTACAATAATAAAAGCGTAATATGCTAATTAGACCAGATGTCCTTCTGGATGTCCTTCCTTCCGGACAAAGCCACAGTGGGAGGGGGCCGGGGCAGAGGTAGCTGCTGCGGTGGCGGGGGCCAAGGCCCGTGCATAATTTTGTGCATTGGGCCCCTAGTCCTATATGAAAGCGTAGTATGCAAATTGCCCCCTTGACTGAGAGGTGTCCGGGATTTCAACCAGGGGACAGGGCCAGCCGGGGGAAGCTGGCAGCCACTAGGGACCCTACCAGTGCACGAATTTCATGCACTGGGCCTCTAGTTATACAATAAACCAGTAAACAGAAGTGTTCCCCTGAGTTCTGAGAGCTGTTCTAGCAAATGATTTAATCCCAGGAGGAGCATGCAAAACTAAAATTGTAGTTAAACTGGACAGAAGTTATGGGTAACCTGGTGTGATATTGTGATTTATAATAAGAAATATACATTTGGTCTTCTTCCACCGTTCCTGGCACAGAACTCCCAAAGCCTTTTGATTTCCTATATACAACCATAGGGGCATCTTTTGTTACATTACATGGCCTTGTGCCACCAGTTCCTGAAATAGCTCCGGAGCCATAAAGAAAAAAAGGAGTGTCTTGCTATGCACAACTAGCCTCTTTTCAACCACACCTGAGTGTATGTCAATGAGGTAACTTTTGAAAATCCCTAAAGATGGGGGGCTGTCAAAGGAACCAACCATAATTAGAGAATTACAACTTTTAATCCCACTGCTTCACTCTGACCTGCAGAGAGGGAGAGGGGCTGGAGGTTGAATCAATCACAGTGGCCACCCAGCTGGCGTGGCTCAGGGGTTAAGCATCAACCCATGAACCAGAAGGCTATGGTTCGATTCCCTGTCAGGGCACATGCCCAGGTTGCAGGCTCGATCCCCAGTATGGGGCATGCAGGAGGCAGCTGATCAATGATTCTCTCTCATCATTGATGTTTCTCTCTCCCTCTCTGAAATGAATAAAAAAAATTTTTTTTAAAAAATCACAGTGGCCCATGATTTCATTAGATGTGCCTAAGTAACGGCGCCTCCATAAAAACCCCACAGGAGGGGTTCAAAGTTCTCAGGTTGAACACCTAGAGATGGTGGGAGAGTAGCCGAGGTCATGAAAGCTGAGCCCCCTCCTGCATACCTTGCACTACGCATGTCTTCCATCTGGCGGTTCCCGAGTTCTATCCCTTTATAACAAACCAGTGATTTAGTAAGTAAAATGCTTCTCCGAGCTCTATGAGCTGCTCTAGCAAATGCATCAAATCCTGTTAGGGGCAGTGGGCAGCTCTGATCTACAGTCATCCAGCAGCCCTGGGAACCACCTGGATGGGGGCTGCCTCCTAGGACTGAGTCCTTCACCTGTGGGATCTGACATTATTTTCCAGAAGACAGTGTCAGAATTGAGTTCAACTGTAGGACATCTGGACACCTCAGTACTCGGGGGATTGCAGACTTGCTTGGTGGTAGAAAAAAACAAGCATCATTCCTCGGGACCTATTACTTGTGAATGGTGAAGTGGGAAGCAGTCTTGTGGGGCTGAGCCTTAACCTGTGCAGTTGAATTGTAGGATGCTCAGCTGCTGGGGGGAAAACCCCACACATCTGGTGTCAGAGAATGTGGCTGTAATGTGAGAGTAGAGGAGAAAAGGGAGCTTTCCCTCTGAGCAGAACTTACTGGTAAGTCTTCAGATGCAAATCCTTTGTCATTTTGAACATTTCCTCTCAGAAGTTATTTCCGTGCTCTGATCAACTTTTATTGTATGGACAGCCTCTAACAGACTGCCCACTGGAAACCCATGCTGACAACCCAGTATTTGAGTGCCTTTCAGACTTAATCAGAACATGAATGCCAAAGTCCTTTCTTCTTTTGGTGAGAACATTTAAGTCTACTCTCTTAGCAGATTTCAATTATATAATACAATGCTATCTATAATAAAAAAAAGTGTAATATGCTAATTAGACCGGACGTCCTTCTGGATGAAGCCGGGGCTGCGAGGGAAGCCTGGGTCCCAGAGGGAAGCAGGTGTCAGCAACCAGGGGAAGGAAGGCCTACTCTTGCACAAATTTCATGCATCAGGCCTCTAGTTAACTATAATCATGTTACCCATTAGATCCTCAGACCTTATTCATTTTGTAACTAAAACGAAGTTTTACCCACCTTTCCATATTTCCCCTACTCCGTAGTTCCTGGCAATCGCTTTTCTACTGTTTCTACGCATTTGACTTCTAAGATACCACATGTAACACTTGGAGTGCGGGAAACGAGTTAAGTCGGCTCGCGTGAATTGCGCGTACTCCGAGGGAGCCGTCTTAAAACTCGGTTCATATAGATTTGCGGTGGAGTGCGGGAAACGTGTAAACTCGGGCCGATTGTAACTGCGTATTACCAAATATTTGTTTGTAATCCACCCTTTTGGTGGATGGAACAAAACCAAAAGACAGAGCCATCTTATATTTTGGCGGGAAATTCACCCGCACTCCAAGTGGTAAGTGACACTACTTAGTACTTTCTGCCTCTGACTTCTCTCGCTTGGCATAATGTCAAGGTCCACCCAGGTTGTTGCAAATGGCAGGACTTCCTTTCCTCATAGCTGCATATGTACACCTCTTTATCCATTCACCTGTGGATGGACACTCAAGTTGTTTCCACATCTTGGTATTGTGAATGACGCTGCTATGAACACAGGAGTGCAGGCATCTCGAGAGCCTGTTTCATTTCCTCCGAATCGTGGTCCTTTCTTGATATGAGTAAAACAGACAAATGAACACGGATCTGGACTATCAACACAATTTACGTTTTGCAAAGCTTTAGTTCCAGCGGCCAGGCTTGTTTTCCGATGGTCTCTGACTGCTGGATAAAGAATGTGGGTGCCCCTTTTTCCAGGTTCCTGTAAGGTAGCCTTTAAATCTTGGAATTTCCCCAGTGATAGGTCTATTATTTGGGAACCTCCCAAATCTGTAAGCAGCTAAGAAGTGAGGGTAGCCCTGGGGATTCCCAGGCTTGCAGCGGTGTGTGAAATGAGGGCGGTTTTGTGGAGGACGGGGCCCTTCACCTTTGAAGTTGGGCGTAACTTGAGGCAGCTAGTGTCAGGTCTGCAGCTAGTGTCAGGTCTCCTGTATTCACTGCCACTTGTTTGCCTGACCTACTTTCTCTTATCTCAAAGCTCTTTGATTCAACAGTTGTGACTATTTTGAGAGGAAACCTATTTTGCATTATAACATCTGTGTAAAAAGCATTGTAATTGTGGATAACAGTAATTATTTGTGAAGAACTCAGATACCAGACACATTTTTATCCAACAAACTTTTATTAAGTATGTTGCACAGGTACATTCTAGTCGACAGGACACAAAGATAAGACATAGTTCTTGCCGTCAGGGAGCTTCCAGTCTAGGGAAGACTCGGACCAACATGGACAGTAGAAATGCTTGGTGCCATGGAATGAACAGGAAACAGGAAGAATGTCCCTGCCAGGTAAGTGGATGAGGAAGAGAAGCAGGGCCTGGAAGAAGTGACATTGGACTGAAGTGTGAGAGCTGAGCAGGGAGCACCCAGGAGGAAGGGGCACGCTCGGGAGAGGTGGTGTGGAGGTTGGGGGTGGGGGGCGGGGGGGTGGCTCAGTCCCGACTGCAGGTAAGTGGCACACAGCAGAGGTCAGAGTTGCAGTTAGAGAAACACCGGCCAGAACACCAAAGGCCTTATACACACGATGAGAAGTCTGGATTCTATGTTCAAGGTGCTGGGAAGCACTAAGGATTTCAAGCTAATAAAGTGTTTTAGAAAAAAATATTTAGAGCAGTGTTACAATAGATTATATGTCCCCGGAGCCTGGAATGAGTTTTAGGAAGTTATGAGGTAATTCTGGAGGAAAACAGGAGGCCTTGGAATGAGGAATTAGAACCAAGCGACATATGCACCTGAGGGGTCGGCACCAGCGAGGCTGAGGGCTCGGTGCGGCTGTGCGCTCCCCACTGCAGGCGACCGGGGAAGAAAGCATGTCTGGTGGGAAGAGGTTCAGTTCTTAGTGGAACACTAAGTGCAGCAGACCTGTGGTTCAATAGCTGGGTTGGCAGCTCAGGAAAGAAATTGCAAGTGAAAATACAGACAGGAATGCCATGAATTCAAAAAAATTTTATTAGAAAGTACGTATGAGGTTAAAAACAGAGGCAGGCCCTTCTAGGTAAAGGGTTGTAAAACCACAAAGATTCATTCCATTAAAAATCAAATCTAAAATGTTTAAAAACTTAAGATAACAAACAGGGTCCTGAGGCCGATTCCGGCCCCTAACAGCAGTCCTCCTATGTCACAGCTGTGGGGCTCTGTCAGCTTCTGAACTCTCAGGTGGAGCAAGAACAGCCAGGTGACTTTTAAAGTAGCAAAACTGAGCATCGCTCTTGAATTTCTGCTTGTCTCTCCACTGTATAAATTTGCTATTCCTGATCTTTTGGGGGACCACCTTGTTTATATGCAACAGTTCCTGTGCTTCCTCTTACAGGAGCTGGGTGGCGGGGTATAGCTCAGGCCACAGGTACTGAAGCTTCAAGAGTGGAGAACATTGACTTAAAAATCAGATATAAAAAGGAGACGATCCCCTGGAAGGACCTCAATCCTAATGGTACAACCAGTGGGACGGTATCAGGATTCATAAAAGCCTTCAGGCACCGAGGTTCCAGGACACTGATCTCCTAGGAACACTTCTTCAGGGGCCACGGGTAGGTTATTGCCAAGTGCAGTTGACTTGACCCTGGCCAGGTACAGAGAGGGGCTGCACGGTTCATACACTGGTTGTTCTCCACAGCAAGTCCAAACCAGAGAAAAAAGGAGGTGCAGCCCCCCTAACAGCAGAAAACTCTTCATCTGGCCAGAGCTCCAGACAACATCCATTCAGAGAACAGGAAGTTAGGAAACCATAAGTTTAACAGTGACCGTGGAGCCACGGGAGTGGATAAGCCCTCCTAGGCTCTCATTGAGTTGTACTGGAAACAGTCAGATGGGGCAAAACTCAGAGGAAGGGGGTGCTGACCATTGAGTCGGGTACACTCTAATATGCAGAAGGGAAAAGCCAGCAGGGAGGAGTAGGCAGAACTATGGAAGAGGCTATAGATGAGACACGTTCTCTGTGAAAGAGGGAGAAGAGATGCACTGCAATCCAGAGAAAGGTAAGGAGTCATGCTCATCACACAAGATGAGGAACCCTGTATTCCTGGAAAAAAACCACATCGGTAGGGGGAGACTAGAGACAACAATGAAGTTCAACTCCAAGGTAGACTATTCCCAGGGACAAAAGCAAACCAAGAATATCAGGTAACATGAGATTCAAGCAGGAGCACAGCAGGTGAACAAGGGTCACTGGGCCACCACGTCCAGCTGAGCAGGTCGTATGGCGTCCATGTGAGTGGCACTTCCTGCGGCCGTGCAGTGCACAATCGGTTCACTGCACTCCGTCACCCTGACAGATCCCACAGGGGAGGACCTAGCTTTTTTGGGCTCTTGCTTTGCAGAAGGGATGAGACCTTCGGTATAAATATCAAAACTGAAAATATAGACTGCAATAGAGGGATGAGCCTAGAAGGACTGAGAGCTGGCCAAATGTATCCACATATCACACGGAACTTTTCCCGGTAGTAAGGAATGGCAGTCAGACTATAGCCCAGCCAGTGCCTTTAATGCATAGAGAGACCATATGAAAACATCAGCCCAGGAAGCAGGGCTCAGAAGGATTCCATTAGTGAGTGTGCTGGGTGGAAGATCGACATTTCCCTATGTCTTCCCAGAGTCTAGTAATTATACTCACTTACCTATTTGGATGTAATGCTCATCAAGTATCTTCAAACTGGCAGCTAAGAGAAGGAATGCCCTAAGTAGAATACTCATTCTTTGTCTCTCCCCAAACACCAGTACAGCTGACAAAATGGCAGCCAGCTCTGTGTCTCAGAAACCGGTAGACGTAGTTAGGATCAGTCCACACTCAGAAACATGTCTGGGCAGCCTGAAGGATCCTGTCAGCACGTCTGTAGGCTGAAGTCCATCCGCAAGGCTGGCCATCTGCACCGAGTTAGGATCCCTGGACAACACCCTACCAACAGTCCCCCCAAAACCACGACACACATCAACTGTGGTTATCTGGGGCCCGTCAAGCATCCAGAAAGAGGTTCCATGTGTTACCTGGATATTATAAAAAGAGCAGAATTAGACCAAGCTATTAGAGCAGTGTCGAGCATATCAACCTCATTCCCCTCTTCCCGCTGTGCAGCTGGTGCGTGTGTACAGCAGGCGTCACTATGGTCAGGTCACCCCAGGGAGCGCAGCCATGAATGCTGCATTCCCCTCTCGGTGTCATCTCTAGAGGGTGGAGATGGTAACTTGTGCTTCTCCCTGGTCCCGAGAGAACAGAACACACTGCTCTATGCATGACACTCGAAAAATGTTTTTTTGTACTGAAAGGCACGGTAAGGGCCAGTTAGTTATTATAGGGCTTCAAATTAGTTGTGCAAGGATTTAGGCTAAATCTCTGCAAGTGGTGAACACTCCCGAATGCGCAAGAATCTCTCAAAAATGTGATCCTCATGAAAAAAAGGAAGTCTAGCTCTCAGGAGGCTTTGGGAGAGGGATGTAAAAGTACTGCCAACGACTCGCAGAAATGAGTAATAATCTCAACTCTCTCCATGCCTCGCTAGTCATGTGTCCAGCTGGTTACAACAGGGAAGAAAAATCCCACATCTCCTTTCAGTTTTGTAGGAATTTCACCCTGAAGTGGAGTTTACATTCACAGCAATTAAATGTTAGCACAGCCCTGGAAAGACTAAGTGAGACATGTCTAGGATCCATTTCTTTGTGGTTTTATGCGTGATTACATTGAATGCAGATTACTGTTAACTTGATCTGAATTTATTTTCCTGACATCTGACATAAACTTCTAAGAGTAAGAAATATCAGGTTTTAATCAATCCCTGTGCTCCCCTCCAATTTAACTGTGTTCATGGTCATGCACATTGATTTATACAGTCAACGCATCTCAACTCGATTTCGAACATTCCAGACTGAGTGTCATCTCACGCATGATCACTGATCGTGTTCGCAATCACCTCCCTGGCCTCGCCTCTCCCCTCAAGTCCACTAAGTGCATCCCAACTGGACGGCTCTTGTTAGGCCGCACGTTCACCAAGTCGTTCTACACTCATTCACGTGGTACCTGTTATGAGCAAAGCACGAACGCAGGTGTACAGAGACCATGCAGACACACAAAACACGGCCCTCTGCCTTAAAATCTAGTCTAACTAGAGAAATAACATGCAAGACTAATAAGATATTACAGGGAATCAAAAGAGCAAGGGAAGAAACTGCAGCTTAGGTAAGGTGGGAGGGCACCCCAGACAAGGGGCTCCTAAGTTAGCATTTAAAGGGTAAGATTCCTGTGGGATAAAGCAGGGAAGGAGCGGCCCAGGAAGAGACACAGCACCTAGCAACGAGTGGCTGTGAAAATCAAGACAAACTGACCAGACAAACTGACCAGAAGCAAGATGCAACGCAGACGATACCAAATAATGGAAGACAGGCGAGGATCTTTGCACATGCTGCCAGAGAAGACCACCCTTTGAAAGCGCCATTTCAGCATGCGATGGTCTGGCATGAACCATTCGTTTAAAGCAGAAATAAATAAATAAATAAATATCAAGTAGCACGCGGTTCAGAGTAGCTATTCAAGCAGGAGCACACCCGGTGAACAAATCACTGGGCCACCACGTCCAGCTGAGCAGGTCGTCTGGCGTCCACGTGATGGCACTTCCTGAGACTGTACAGTGCACAACCCGTTCAACTGCACTCAGTGCCCCTGACAGTTCCCACAGGGAGGGACCTAGCTTTCTGAGGGTCTTGTTTGCAAAAGGGTACTCAAAAGGGACCAAGGGCAAGAAATCAAGTCTCTCAGCAGACTACAACCAGTTGCCTGGTCCAACCTCTTGAAATAATACGGGAGAAAAATGCAGGTACAAGGCAAGGCACTCTATTACTGAGAAACACCGGGAGGCCAGACAGGGGCCCAGACCACAGGTAAGTGATGCGAGTATCAAGATTAGTATGATTCTATTAGTAACTTCTATGTAAGAATTCTTACAGATTCTTGAAGTGTTACCTGAAACTAATGTAGTTTTGTAATAAAGAAAATAAAAAGAATTTTTACAGCTTCTTTAAGAATTGAATTAGTCCCAGAGTCTCACACCACCATGTCCCCAAACCCCAACTACTGATGGAGTTTAACTGGCCATAGGACAAAATTATTAGAAACTAAAACATGTCATCACATCATTATTTAATAAAAAATGTTTATTTTCAAAATTTTAATTATTTATTTTTGAAAACATATTAATACCAGTTACTGCTTCCTTTCATTACACATAACATTTCAGCTGCATTATAACTATTAAAAGCTTTAAGCTTTAGCCTGGAAATCCAGGTTTTCTGAGCACCAAATATTCTACTTGCAAATTCACTTTTTTGAGTGGGTGGGTGAGGGGGGGGTGTCCTAAAGTGCAATTTTACTTAATACACAGAAATCGTGTAGAACCAACTGGCCAGAGGAAAATCTTTGTTTGGTAGTAATATCAGCAGGCCTTTTGACATACTTTACTTATATCATCACATTTAATCCTCACGAAAACCCTAAAGACAGTAATATCTATAAAGGAAACTGACATTTAATGAATGATTTCTAAGTACAAGATACTTTTCAAAGCTGTTCAAATGTGTAGTATTACCCCATTCAATCCACATGATAGCCCGATGAGGGAAGTACCTTTATTATCTGACTTTTGCACGCAACAAATACAATTGAGAACTCGGGGACTTTCCTAAGGTTACACTGCTAATAAGAGGAGTCTGATTTCAAGGGTTCACACCACTTGACTCCAAAGCCCAGGCAGGCTCCAGACCACAGCTTTCCCCTGTTCCTGCAGTTGGTGTACATGGAATAAGCAACACTGTTTACACTACTGTCAGAATTTTGTCAAGTATTGTTTAGTGAATGACCAAAGACCAGCAATAGCCAGAAGCAAAGGTATGATTAAAATACAGTAGATTCTCTATGGGTCGGGATCCAAATAAGTCACTATTTTCAAAAGACTTAATGAGCTCTGATGGTGAGTTGTTTTAAAATGCTGAAAAGAAACACTGTCACTCAAAGTTACAACAGAGAATATTGCTGCAAAACAAACAGAAAACCAAATAAACAAAGTAAAATGCAAGGAAATGAGGTTAGGGTGAATCATATCCCAGGCCTGCCTAGGTTTTAGAAAATGTGAAACTGAATCCACTCCAAGTAAATGAAGTCTGTGGAAATCCTGCAATTTGATATTGACAAGGGTTTAATTGTAGTTGAAAAGATTCTAGATATACATGGGGGAGGGGAAGAAAAACAGTCTATAAGTATCGGAAGTGACCATATGGCTAAATCTGAATAACTCAAGATCGACACAGCTTATTACCTATTAGCACACACTTTTAATAACGACAACTTATGTGGTCTTAAAATTTTATATATTGTTTTGCTAATCTCCATGCTGAAAGGATTCTAGAATTGCTTATTTTCAAATCACAATCTGCTCAAGGAAGGTAGAGGAGGAGGGGGAAGAAGAGACTTACTGGGGTTTAGACCATGAAATAAAGCAAAGGCCCGCAAAGAGCCCAGGTTGATTACTGATCTAGTCTTTCCATTCTAATCCACTTCTTCCAGACGGAGGTTTCTGAATCCTACAGTGAGCGTGGTTTAGAACTCATCCAGATTAAAGCATTCATCTCAGAACAGCAAAATGGTCCCAACTCACATAGTTACTGGCAACAGAGCTAGAAAGAGGGGGCACCCTGACTCTTTAGGCACACACAGTTCCTGTGCGCACACACAAGGCCCGTTTACAGAGAGCACCTTATTGGAAATGCGGGTACTCACGAGCACAGACTCACTACTTAAAGGACACTGTGGTGGGGAGATAAACACTTTTGCCTTAAAAATATTTTTTTAATTACTTAGACAAATTAGATATGAGGTGATGAACACCACTGATCATTAGGGAACTGCAAATTACAAGCCCAATGACATACCACTACACACCCACTAGTATTCAAAGCACTCACACACAGCACTAGGTATTGGCAAAGATATGGAGAAACTGGAACTCTCACTAGCAGTTAGTGGGAATGTAAGTTGCACATTTGGAAAACTGTTCACACTATTTACCAGACTAGAAACACATGCATCCTATAACCTAGCAATTAAATTCCTGGGTATATGTTCCAACAGAAATGAGTGCTATGTCCAACAGAAGATATAACAATGTTCATATCAGATTTATTCATATGGACCCGAAACTAAACATCTTAAACATCCATGAAAAATAAGAAGAGAAATAAATAAACATGATACATGCATATAATGGAATACTATTCAGCAAGAAAAAAGAATGAAGTTCTGCTATATAAAACAACATGATGAATCTCACAGAAATAAAGTTGAGCCAAAGAAGCCAGATATGAAAGAGTACATTGTATTATAATTCCATTTATAAGAATAAAGTAATTTATGGTACTAAAGGTAAGATAACGGTTACCTCGGGGAGGGGAAGGCATGTACGGGAGGACACAGGGGAGTCTTCTGTGACGCTGGGAATGGGCTGTATTTTGATCTAGGAGGTGGGTACATGGCTGTACACATATGCAAAAATTTGTCAAACTGTACTTACGATTTTGTGGACTTTGCTATACACAAGCTACGGCCCATTCCATGGTATCGTCTGCTCCATGTCCTTTCTTGTCGAGGAACTTTGTTCTTTTTCATTGTTGTCCATCTAGTATCATATTGTATGAATACAATTTTCCTTCTTATTGGTGTGGAGCATCTATATAAAAAGTGTAAAAATTTAATTTTTTTTTAATCCCAAATGCACATCTCATCCGCTCACTGGTAGACTGCTTACTAAAATACTAAGAAATAAACTCCACTTGCAACATTACTTTAACGTGGCCACCTTCTACTTTAAGCATGAACAAATTGCTGGGTCCACATTTATTTGTTGCCAACCAAGGTTACTGCCCAAAACTCAATGGCAGAGTGATAGGAATGAAAGTTTTTCTCAAAACCAATGTATCAGAGTAGAATCATGTTTGCTTAAAATGACCCTTTGTGAACCAATAAAACACTGTATTTAGAGGATTGGTCTATGATGAGTGAACCTACATTATTTCATAGAACTTTTGTGAATGGGAAAAAGAATGAGAACCAACCCCGGTGGGATAAAGGAGGCTCACTGTCATATCATAGCCTGGTGGACACCAGATAACTGTAAAATTCCAAACTCCATCTCTCCGTCCGCCACTATTACCAACTGCCTGGCGCCGTGCTGAGCCCTTTCTGTGTATCCTCCCAATAACGCCTCGGGGATGGTCCCATCCCCTCTACTGCATAGGCGCGGTGACTTCAGTCGGCCTAAATAAGGTCACAAATGCCTCCTCCTAGGTTCTCTCCTGGAAGTTATAAAACTTTTAGGAGGTTTCTCCATTGACATCTTCCATGCCTTTGAAATCAATCTTTGTTTATGGTGTGAGGGATGGATCCGCAGGAGAATGGGTGGAATCGCTCGTTAAAAGTGTGTAAGAGCAGCCCGGCCGGCGTGGCTCAGCGGTTGGGGGTGGACCTATGAACCAGGAGGTCGCGGTGGGATTCCTGGTCGGACTCCCGGTCAGGCACGTGGCGGGTTGTGGGCTCGATCCCCAGTGGGGGGCGTGCAGGAGGCCGCTGACCCATCATTCTCTCATCATTGATGTTTCTCTCTCTCTCTACCTCTCCTGCCCTCTCTGACATCAATAAAATAAATAAAATAAAAGTGTGTAAGTGCAAAGGGTGGGTGGAACCCAGGAAAAAAGTCAAGGCATGGCGGGGAAGCGGCGGGAGAATTCTGAATAGTCAACACCAGGCCCTCAGATCAGCAATCGGTCTGGGATGACGCCACCAGCGACCGAGGGCATTTACGGTAAACAGGACCCCTCCGCCCGCGGAGCCACGTCGGAGCCTCGGGAGGAATTCCCCCGTGGAAGCACCGGGGAGGCCGAAGTCCCCTCGGGCAGGAGGGGTTGGGCTGCCCGACGCCCAGGGCGACCCAGGCCGGTGCCGCCACGCCCCTGGGACTCTCCGAATCGGGTCAGGGGACAAACCCGAGAAAATCAGACCCGCGACCCGCCGGGGGGTGCCCAGCGGAACCCTCAGCGGGGAAGCGGGCGGCCCAGGGGGGTGCCGAACGGAACCCTCAGCGGGGAGGCGGGCGGCCGGGGGTGCCGAGCGGAACCCTCAGCGGGGAGGCGGGCGGCCGAGGGTGCCCAGCGGAACCCTCAGCGGGGAGGCGGGAGGCCCGGGGTGCCCAGCAGACCCCCAGCGGGGAGACAGGCGGCTGAACGACAACAGAACAAAACGGCGGGAAAGGAACTGTGCGTAACCCCGGGCAAAGGCGGGAGTCCCTCCCCTCCCTCCTCCCCTCTCCCCCTCCATCGTGTCCGGAGGAGCAGGGCTCCCCCATGTACCCGCTGCTCCGACAGGGATGCGGAACCACTGGTCTCGTCCCTCCCCAGAAGCCTCGCTGGGGTCCCGGGCGGACTAACCTCCGCGTCCCGGCCGCGGGCGGGTCACCTCAGCTCCAGCCGGGCCCTGACCTGCTGACCCGACCTCCCGCCCCGCTCACGGGCGCGGAAGCCGGCGCGCTGTCGTAAAGTGCCGTGAACGCGCCGGCGCTTGGCGGCTCCGCAGGTGAAGCGTGCGGCGTGGGTCCCGGCTGGGCGCGAACCCACCCCTGGCTGCTGCTCCCGCGGAAAGGCTGCAGGGAGCGAGTTGGGGAGCACCCGGCCCGACGCCGACGCTCTCGCCGGGTGAGGGTCTGCTGCTGGTCGGGGAGCAGGAGAGGCAGCGGGTGGGGCTGCTCAGGAACAGTGATTCCCACCCGATCCTTGTTGAGGAGGCGGGGCGTCAGGTGCCACAGCCTCACCCCGGGGCCCGCGGGGCCGCCAGGTGCCGTGTTGGTTTCCCTCTTCGTGCGCATCGCTAGACGTCGGGTGTCCTCGGGGTAGCTGACACCTGTCTCTCTTGTCCATCTGTCCTGCAGGCTCCCTCCCCCCTGGGCTTTGACATGCTGTACCTGGTCGGCTTGGGCCTGGGAGACGCCAAGGACATCACGGTCAAGGGCCTGGAAGTGGTGAGGCGCTGCAGCCGCGTGTACCTGGAAGCCTACACCTCGGTGCTGACCGTAGGCAAGGAAGCCCTGGTAGGTGCCAGCCTGCGGGGAAGGTTGCTGCCCCGCAGCCCATTGCATCACCGCACCGAGCGGAACCGGCTCCCTAAGGATGTGGGGAGAGTGGGATTGTGCACCAGTCAAGTGGCCTGGAAATGAAACGTTTTGTCGGACTTTGCACGTCTGATTTTGTGGCTTTCTCCAGTAAACAGGAAGGGAAGGTTATTTTCACTCCTGGGGAGGGTTCTCAGAATCCCTCATTTCAGGAGATCGCCAAGAAATCCTTTCTGAGTGGTGGGCGAATGAGGGGCCGATCCAGCCTTCATGGGTTGGTTACGTATTCAGAAACCAGGCGGAGAGCCTCCCCCGCCAAGGATGTCCATAGGGAATGGTGATTGCCTTTCCGCCTGTGTCCATCCAGAGAGGTCTTCTTACCTTTACATAGCCAGCTCCCATCCCAGGAAGGCTTGTACCCAAACACCTGTGGGTGTTGAGCGGTCCTGGTGTACAGCTGGCCATCATTAAGGGCTCGTTGAATTTTGGAGGAGGGAGTAAGTTCAGGTTCATCGTCAAACTCCAAGTGCAATGTAAATGAAGATGCAAAGGTCAATGAGCAGGTTATCGGAGGAAGGAGGGAATTTTACAACTGTCCAGTCTAGCAAGTCTTCCAAACAAAAAGGTGCCCTACAGAGTTTCAGGTCTTCTATCCTCTCAGAGCCACAGCCTCACAGGCAGCATTATTTCTCTATTCTCTAGTATTCAAGGTTAAGCTAGAGATGGAGAATCTGATTTTGGTGTATACATCTTGAATTTCTTTAGGCAATTTCTGTGGATAAATATATGCCTTTGGTATAATGTACCTGTGTGCATGATACAGAGACGTAGACTATGATGTTTGTCTGCAAGTGGCTCATGATATATCTGTATTTTACCCAGGAAGACATAAATAATAATGGACGATTTAAGGAGTAGTGCATGATGGCAGTGGGAGGGGGAAACTGTAAAATTATATTGCTGGGAAAAACTCACATCATCTTATCTAAGTCCACATTCTTGCTTTTGCCAACTAGGTAGGAGAAGCTGTCTCATGTTAAATAACTAACTAGTTGTTCATTACAATTGGAGTAGATCAGTGGTTCTCAACCTTCTGGCCCTTTAAATACAGTTCCTCATGTTGTGACCCAACCATAAAATTATTTTCGTTGCTACTTCATAACTGTAATGTTGCTACTGTTATGAATCGTAATGTAAATATCTGATATGCAGGATGGTCTTAGGCGACCCCTGTGAAAGGGTCGTTTGACCGTCAAAGGAGTCGCAACCCACAGGTTGAGAACCGCTGGAGTAGATGTTGCTTTGTGCTTGATGGTCAGGGCAGACTACGGAATAGTGGGATTTGAGCTTTGTTTCAAAACAATGCACTCCTGGTCTTTTTGTTTTGTTTTTAGTCACATTTACCTCATGGTCCAGATAGAAAATGGTCGTATTTCTGCAGCTCTGCAGGGTCCGTGGAGGAAGCTGTGCCTCCGTCCTCCTGGCCGAAGGGCACTAACTTCGGGGCCCCAGCTCCCTGCACAGAGCGGAGCTCACGGAACCCCGCCCGGCCGTGCCCGTTTGGCGCCTGTGAAGCTGTGCAGTCAGCTGAGGTTCTGAGCCCCAGGCAGGCATGCAGCTTCCCTGTGCTCTTCTTATCTGTAAAGGGATAAAAAATAGGGCCACCCCTACTGTGGTAAAGATTCAATGCACTTCTGCACTACAGACGTTTTCAGAACAGTGCCTGCCCGCAGAGTGAGCCCAATGTACCAGAAATTAATGATTACACATATTGTAGATAAGATTTAATAAGAGGATGAACAAGAGCATTTCTTGCTGAAGAAAATATAATTGTGAGCCAGAGCGCGTGGGGAGAAAAAACCCGGGGTTTCCCCTTATATGTGTTTTGGGGAAAAAAAAAAATCTATCTTCCCTCTCCTCCCGGTGTCTTTGTTCCCTCTCTTCCTTCATAACCCTCTT